ACTGTGTGCCTTTTAACTATAGAAAGCTGTTCGAAAATTACATACGGAGATTTACATACGGCACCAAACCAGTCTAGGTTTGTCGTTGAAATCGAGAATAACATTTAGTAAGAATTTAGCGTAACGTGAGAATATCAGCCGCTCGACGTTCAGGGGGATCAAGGATGGTCCCAGTTTGAAAGAAAGGCGCGTATTTTTCAAGACGAGTGGCAACGTTTACGATTATAAACGAAGAAAGAAGAAGATAAGATATATATATATATATATATATATTGTATTTTCAGTTGTTAAGAATCAACCGAAGCAAACGCTCGTAGTAAACATGTTATTACATATAAATTAAAATAAATAATAATTGTTGTAGTTTCTTGTTAATTTATTCAAAGGAGTGAACGATCAGAGAGTGGTTTATTCAGGTATTTGGGTATCCTCAATAGAGTAATCTCCATTGTCTTGCGATTTTTGATGTTTCGATTTCGACGACGCATCGACGTAGCTTTCTTGCTGAATGAAAACACGTACGTTACGCGACGCGAGTGAAATTCGGCGCTATTCCGTCGTGTAATAACGGCTCGATCATGCTCATTTTCATGACAATAAACGGACAATGGACGGTGTGGTAGATGGCCGCGATATGGAGACCAACCTACTTCGTTCGTACGTGAAACTTTACGTTTCTACGTGCGATAGGTCGGTTGCACAATCGTTCTGTTCCCACTTGCCCGCCTCAAAATGGAACAAATTACTCACTTTCCAGATGCGAGTTGCGTTATGGCCAGCCACGAAACGTATAAAGTCAAACGTATATGTTGTGTATGTCAGGACACTGTGTTCTCAAAGTGTGGGGTCGCAGAAATTTTCGCAAAAATGAAAAAATTGACACTGAATATTTGGCTTTGCCCTTAGCACGTGGTAAAATCACATTCGTATATATACCAAATAAATTGTCATCGTGATTTGTTTTATCGGCGTAAATGTTTCGATTCGTACTGCTAGGTTACACACTATCTATACTCGGGGTGGTGGAAATATTTGCTCCCGGGTAAAGGAAGCCGTCGAGCATCGAAAAGTTTGAAAAGTCCGCCAAAGAGAAAATTAACGCAGTGGCGTTCTTGATCGATCGTTGTTTGAATAAATCTTGAGAAGATATCTTCTACCCAGCTTTCCGCGTGGTAGAAGCATTTTCGCGGCATCACTCTGCCGATAGATAGAGTGGCCGATGATCCGTACGACACGAGGAGAATCGTAAGAAAGCTCGTTAACACTAAACGTACCAGCATTTTACATATACCTATCTTACCCCTTACGAATAAACGTTGATTTTTAGAAAGAAATTTTTAATTTATTAAAGGAAATAATTGCCAGCGTAACTTCTGATTTCTAATAAAATACTCAGACATGTATTTTTATTTAAAGTAAATTTTGAAAAGGGGCCATTTAATCCCTTGTGAATAAACGTTGATTTTTAGAAAGGAAGAAATTCTTAATTTATTAAAGGAAATAATTTGCAACGTAACTTCTGATTTCTAATAAAATACTCAGACATATATTTTTATTTAAAGTAAATTTTGAAAAGGGGCCATTTGAAACGTACCCCGCTTGGTACGTTTAGTGTTAAGGTAAACGTAACGAATAATTCCAGCGTAGAGTTTTCGTGGACTGGGCTGTGCAGCAATTGTGTAATCGTGAACAAGCCATCGTCTGAGCGTTCGTAAATTGCGAAAAGAAGAACGAAAAGAAGACAAAGCGATTATTTCGTACGTTCGAAGATTCAATTTCTGTTTCGTCCACTCGCGCAAGTCACTATGGCAACGCACCGATTTCAGGTAGAAATTAAGCTCGTACCTCGGATCGGAAATAAGCAGGCAATTGTAAAGTCTCTCTCGCTGTCTCGAAGAAATAAGTCGGTCGTGAACGTTGTTCGCGAGCTGCGTACGGACCTTGTAACACTAAACGTTTGTATCTGCGTAACGCTTCCAAAGGGGTTAGAAGAATCGATTTATTCCGATATCAAGAATATGATCCAATGAATCATCAGTACGAACGGTACAAAACTACAGTCGGTCTAATAAGAACAAGGTGAACGAGGAGGAGAATCTCAATCGACGATCTGTGTGGGATACCTTCGAACAACCACTTTGTTCCTTCCGCGTAAATTACTCCTACTACTTGCAACAAAATACGTAGCAGAATCAAAGATCGAAACGTCGAAGCGAAGAGAGACTTGACCGCAACGATTATCGACTGTAAAATAAACGCAAGTTGAACGGCGTAAGGTCGAGAATCGTACCGGGAAGCAAATTAAAGTCAATTGAAATACTTTGTAGA